CCCCACCCGTGGTATGGTTTTAATGGAATCTACCTAGAAAACTCACTTCCATAGAGACTCCAAGAATTTTTTTTCTGTTTCTCAGATAAGACAAACTGGTCCACAAAGCCTAACCCAATAGCTTGTACATTCTTACACAATATATTACAAGTAATTGAACTGCATGACTTTTGCAAGTCCAGGGGTCACCACATTTTTGAGTTCTCAGGTAGTCCATCATATTAACTATTGATAAGGAGATATCAGTTGAATAAGATCTCCTGAGGGAGCTGGATAGGCACCAAAAGTCAGTATCTGACCAGCCTGGCTGTGGTTTGCACATCGGTTTACGTGCAGCCAGTAGTAACAGCCTGGTCAATCAGGCCCTGATCCACCACAAGACCTGGTCACAGACTGGGCTGTGAAACCTCTCCAGGTATACTAGGTATACTCCTGAAACTTGATTGGTAACTATGTATTCTTTTTTTTTTTTAAAAGTCGGCCATCTCCCACCGAGACAGGGTGACCCAAAAAGAAAATACTTTCATCATTCAACACTTTCACCTCACTCACACATAATCACTGTTTTTGCAGAGGTGCCCAGAATACAACAGTTTCGAAGCATATACGTATAAAGATACACAACACATCCCTCTAAACTTCTTATCTTCCAATATCCCGAACCCCTCCTTTAAAGTGCATGCATTGTACTTCCCATTTCCAGGACTCAAGTCCAGCTATATAAAAATAACCGGTTTCCCTGAATTTTTTTTTTTTTTATTATCACACACGGCCGATTCCCACCAAGGCAGGGTGGCCCGAAAAAGAAAAACTTTCACCATCATTCACTCCATCACTGTCTTGCCAGAAGGGTGCTTTACACTACAGTTTTTAAACTGCAACATTAACACCCCTCCTTCAGAGTGCAGGCACGGGTACTCCATCTCCAGGACTCAAGTCCGGCCTCCCGGGTTTTTCCTGAATCCCTTCATAAATGTTACTTTGCTCACACTCCAACAGCACGTCAAGTATTAAAACCATTTGTCTCCATTCACTCCTATCAAACCCCGCTCACGCATGCTGCTGGAAGTCCAAGCCCCTCGCACACAAAACCTCCTTTACCCCCTCCTCCAACCCTTCCTGGGCCGACCCCTACCCGCCTTCCTTCCACTACGGGACTGATACACTCTTGAAGTAAATTCTGTTTCGCTCCATTCTCTCAACATGTCCGAACCACCTCAACAACCCTTCCTCGCCCTCTGGACAACAGTTTTGGAAATCCCGCCCTCCTCCTAACTTCCAAACTACGAATTCTCTGCATATATTCACACCCAACATTGGCCCTCAGACATGACACTCTCCACTGCCTCCGGGCCTTTCCTCGCTGCAACATTCATCACCCACGCTTCACACCCATATAAGAGCTTTGGGTAAAACTATCCCTCCTCATACATTCCCCTCTTTGCCTCCAAGGACAAAGTTCTTTGTCTCCACAGACTCCTAGTGCACCACTCACTCTTTTTCCCTCATCAATTCTATGATTCACCTCATCTTTCATAGACCCATCCGCTGACACGTCCACTCCCAAATATCTGAATACTTCACCTCCTCCATACTCTTTTCCCTCCCAAACTGATATTCAATCTTTCCCTCACCCAATCTTTTTGTTTCCTCATAACCTTACTCTTCCTGTATCACCTTTAATTTTCTTCTTTTGCACACCTACCAAATTCATCCACCAATCTCTGCAACTTCTCTTTAGAATCTCCAAGAGCACAGTGTCAAACGGCAAAGAGCAGCTGTGACAACTCCCACTTTGTGTGTGATTCTTTATCTTTTAAAATCCACGCCTCTGCCAAGACCCTCGCATTACTTCTCTTACAACCCCATCTATAAATATATTAAACAACCACGGTGCATCACACATCCTTGTCTAAGGCCTATTTTACTGGGAAAAAATTTCCCTCTTTCCTACATACTCTAATTGAGCTCATATCCTCGTAAAACTCTTCACTGCTTTCAGTAACCTACCTCCTACACCATACACTTGCAACATCTGCCCACATTGCCCCCCTATCCACCCTGCATACGCCTTTTTTCCCAAAACCATAAATGCCACAAGACCTCTTTAGCCTTATCTAAATTTCTGTTCACTTATATGTTTCACTGTAAACACCTGGTCCACACACCCCCTACCTTTCCTAAAGCCTCCTTGTTCATCTGCTATCCTATTCTCCGTCCCTTTCTCTTAATTCTTTTAATTATAACTCTACCATACACTTTACCAGGTACACTCCCAACAGACTTACCCCCCTATAATTTTTGCACTTTTTTTTTTTCCCCCTTTCCCTTTTAAACCCAAAGGAACATGGCAGGCTGTCTGCCAACCCCTGGGTTACCTTACCCTCTTCCATACATTTATTAAATAAATTTCCCAACCACTCCAAAACTAATCCCCCCCTGCTTTTAAATTTCTATCTTTTCCCATCAATCCCCGGGTGCCTTACCCCCCTTTATTTTACTACGCCCCCCACGAAAAAATTCCCCACAAATTTACAAAAAAGGTTTTTCCCCACCCTACAAGTTTTTTTCCCCCTTGCCCTATAAATGAAAAACACAGCTTCCCTATCTTCATCAACATTTAACAAATTTCCCCAAAATTCCTTCCCTCTTCCCAATACCTTACCTCTCCATTTAATAACTCTCCCCTCCTATTTTTAACTGGGCAAAATCCATTTGTTCTCAGGCCCCTTTCTTAACTTTTTAATCTCACTCCAAAACTTTTTCTTATTTTCAACAAAATTTTTGATAACTCTCACCCCTCTCTCATTTGCTCTCTTTTACTTTGTTTCACCATTTTTTAAACTTTCTCTTTTCTCCAAAACCTTCCCTCCTTTCACTTCTATTTTGTAAAAACTTCTCAAGCTAACTTTTTTCCCCCTTTATACCCCTTTACATCATCATTCCCCAATCGCTCCTTTTCCCCCCTTCCCCACTTTCCTGTAACCACAAACTTTGCTGAACACCTAAACACTCATTTTTAAACCACCCCTCCCTCGACCCCTTTTCCCATGCCCAAACCCTTTACCTCCAATAGCTGTTTTTATCTTACCCTAACTCCCTCCCTTTTATTTATAAACCCCCCCTTCCTTCCCCTGAGCTTCTATTCTCCGTATCCCATCTCCCTTTTTTACTTCGTGTAGCAAAAACAAAAGTGATCTATTATTGTGGCCCCTCTATAACATTTACATCCAAAGCTACTCAACGTCTTTTATCTACCAATACAAATCCAACAAACTACGTCATTTCGCCCAAATCATATCGTTAACTTATTTATCCTTTTTTTCTTAAAAAATGTATTACCATAACAAAACCCCTTTCTATACAAATTTTCAATCAAAGGGCCCCCATTATCATTTACCCCCGGCACCCCAAATTTCCCTCCACACCCTCCAAAAAAGTTTTCCTCTTAGCATTAAAGTCCCCCCCCCCCCCCAAAAATTACTCTCTCCTTGTTTAAAAGGGGCCCTAAACATTCATTTAACATCCCCCAAAAATCTTCTCTCCCCTTTGATTCCTCTCTTCTCAGGGCATACACGCTTTTTGACCCATTTTTGATCCAACCTTTACTTTAATCCACTAATTCTTAAATTTTAAACATTTATTCTCTTTTCCCCTTTCCTAACTGATCTTTTAAACTTACTGCCCCCCTTCCTTTGCTCAACTCTCTCAGATACTCCAGATTTAATCCCATTTATTTCCCCCCACGAAACTCCCACCCCTTCAGCTTTTTTTCGCTTTGGGGCCCGGACATCCAACTTTTTTTCATTCAAACTCACAATCATTGTTTCTTTTCATCCGCACTCATCCCGCACATTTTAAGCAACCCCCGTTTTATAAAGTTTTTCTTCTTCTCTTTTTTTTGTAATTGATCAGGGGGAAGGGGTTTTCTAGCCCTTTTCTCCCGGCATTTTGTGCCTATACACACGCATGGCTTACGGAGGAAAATTCTTTTCCACTTCCCCTGGGCAATAAAGGGAAAAAAAAAAGAACAAGAGTATTTAGAAAAAAGGGGAAAAACCCAGAGTTTATATATAATGCATTGCGTGTCTTGAAGTTGAAAAAGTGTAAGTAGGAGTGCAAATACCCTGTTACTTTGCGTGTTTATGAACAGAAAAAAAAACCCCAAACCCTACCATCAGCAAAACAGTTTCAGGTTTTTTTTTCACAGTCATTGGCAGGACGGTGACTTCCCCGGGTGTTTTCTGTCTCCAACTACTACCTCCTTTCCCCCGAATCCCTTCACTAAAATTCCCCGCTCACACTCCAAAAGCTGTCTCCGAAATACCATTCGCTCCATTCACCGAATTTTAACATTTCACGCACGCCCGTGAAGTCCAGCCCCCGCCCCCAAAGCCTCCCTTAGCCCTTCCTATGGATATTTTTTTATTATTATTAAGATACTTAATTACTTCAGAATACACTGCTTCCTCTATAACCTTGGACATCACACTGAGTATAGCAATAGACCTTTTGTGCTTTCTTTTGTGCCTAGCAATGTTTTATTACATATAAACTACATTTTTTTGTACTGCATAAAAAAAAGAAAAAATTGAATTTGAATAAAAGTGGTGTCATCACCAGAGTAATAAGTTAAGATAGTTTAAAATACAGGAAACAGAAGAGGGTCCAGGATGCTACCTTGGGGAACATCAGTATTCACTAGTGCTTTAAATGAATCCTTTATAATTAAATGTTAAGTGTCAATCACTCAAGTAAGAATAGTAATTTATGTTAGTTAACGAAGAATACTGTAGTTAGTAGTGCCAAAGTACTTTCATGGATCAATAAATAACCCAGGATATTTTTTTTCCTGTAAATTGTGATAGTAACACCAGAACTCCATGAATGTGTTGACAATTACACTATGGTGTCCCTGATGTCTTAGAAAACCAAATTACTATTTAAAACAAGTAATAATGATGCATCCCGGCCTGGCATGCTGGGACACAGGCACCCACCTGTGTCTTTGGACATGAGACATTGCCGCATTTCCTTGGCTCTCTGGAAGTTGATTTCTTCAATGAGTTGCTCGAGGGCCGTCACGTTGCGGAGTATATCCTTAGCGCCGAGGCCAGCCATTGTTGGGGAAAGTGTTGGTGAGGGAGTGTTGGAGGTGGTGAAGGAGAGTTAATGTTTAAGTGTGAGTCATCCCTTGATGAGCAGCTGCTACTATAGCAGACCACCACGCTACCTCTCACCTCAACCTACATACTCTATCTTTACCTCTATCTCTCACCTCACTAATCTGGCTACTTAGTCATGTTTTATCTCATATCTCATCATGTTAAACATTACTTTTATCATATTACAGTACAAACATCATTGACAGGTCGGACGTACGATTACTTATCATACATTATTATTAATATTTTATATGGTTCAAAAAAACTTTACATAAACAGTTATATAATATAATAATTTTTAAAGATATATGTTTGTGAAAAACAAACAAATTAAAAATAACTACCACTGAATGTAGGGGAATGCAGTACGACAATATGGCTGTGTTCAGTAACAACAGATTATTTCAGAATTCTTCGCTAATATCTGAATAATAATGTCAGGGCAGCTTTGAAGTATCTAAATTTGCTTAAAAGACCCGTATACACCTGCCCATGCTAAGTGTTGAATATATGTTAAATATTGTTACGAGATCCATCTTACAATCATCATATTTTAAATAGCATGCAATACCGACAAGCTGATAAGTAAGACATGCGCAGCCACACTGTCTAAGGTAGTTTAATACAATAATAATAATAATAATAATAATAATAATAATAATAATAATAATAATAATAATAATAATAATATATTTATTTACTACAAGTACATGGTATACAGTCCTAGCTGACATCAATTACATAATACTATACAGAAAGCTGCTTGTTATGCTGAGCATTACGGGTAAATTAGGTCAGTTTTGTCCCAGGATGCGACCCACACCAGTCCACTAAGACTTAGGTACCCATTTTGAACTGATGGGTGAACAGGGACCGGGACAGCAGGTGTCTTATGGAAACGCGTCCCTAATGTTTTTCAGCCGTACCGGAGGTATTATGCATACCATACTTATGGTGTACAGAGAACTTTCACGGCGCGCATAACGGAGATAAAACACCTCAATTACTGGGAACGCTTGAGGTTCCTAAACCTGTACTCCCTGGAACGCAGGCGGGAGAGATACATCATTATATACACCTGGAAAATCCTAGAGGGACTAGTACCGAACTTGCACACGAAAATCACTCACTACGAAAGCAAAAGACTTGGCAGACGATGCAACATCCCCCCAATGAAAAGCAGGGGTGTCACTAGCACGTTAAGAGACCATACAATAAGTGTCAGGGGCCCGAGACTGTTCAACTGCCTCCCAGCATACATAAGGGGGATTACCAACAGACCCCTGGCAGTCTTCAAGCTGGCACTGGACAAGCACCTAAAGTCGGTTCCTGACCAGCTGGGCTGTGGCTCGTACGTTGGTTTGCGTGCAGCCAGCAGCAACAGCCTGGTTGATCAGGCTCTGATCCACCAGGAGGCCTGGTCACAGACCGGGCCGCGGGGGCGTTGACCCCCGGAACTCTCTCCAGGTAAACTCCAGGATACTGAAAAGATTAGAGGCACATAATGCATCCAGGGACGGAACCCCAAAGTTCTGCTAGCTAAACAAGGACCCCAATAAGTCACTTTCACTTTTTTGGGGTTATCCTAGGTAATTTACACTATGTATGATAGATAATTGTACTTAGGTCTACCTGTGCCTAAACAGACTTACGTAAGTTACAGTGGCACAGTTGGCAACGCTCTCACCTCACACTGAGTGTCCCTGGTTCGATCCCTAACGCTGGTGAAAATGTTAGGTTAGATTTTACCACCGAAGTGGCTAGTTTATTGTGCACCCCATATCCATCCTGTGGACGGTAGCGCAAGAGCATATGGATACACACAAAAGACCCAGGAACTAGGCCACAAAAGGGTTAACAGGTGTATATATGAATTTAGGAAATTTACTTAGCATATCTGATATCTTATTTTCGTTAATAAGATATCTTAACATGTCACATAGGTTATTATACTATCTATCTCTGTATTCCTCAATAAGTGGACAATTAAGCACATAGTGTTCAAGAGAGTGACCATATGCCTGATCACATAATTTACATTTAGTTTGATCATCATCTGTGTGTCTCCCAAACTGCCAGAAGTACTTGTAACCAAGCCTAAGCCTGGCCACTACAACATCAGTCAGTCTGTTCACATTGCAAGTTGCTCCATAAACATACTTATCTACGTTCATGTTATCATAGTGGGTTATAGATCTACTCAGGCTTCTAACTGCATTCCTATATTATTATTATTATTATTATTATTATTATTATTATTATTATTATTATTAAAGATTAGCCGGTATTCTCCCGGCCCAGGCCTTTTCCAAGTGGTGGCCCGGCCTTGGCTCCCTCTTTAGGGAGTGTCTGAGATCTAAGTCTCCCATGGGAGGAGGCACAAGTACCTCCTCATCTTTGGGACCAACTGTCCCCAGGCCTAGCCACAAGCTAGGCCTCTCTGGTCTGCCATCCCCGCCCCAAGGGGGCAAATGGGAATGACAGTCTTATGAGCTAAAGGCTCGGGCTCAGGCACCTACCCTACCCTAGAAGGGTTAGGCATGGTGTCGATCGCATTCCTATAACAATCATTTTCATTATTTACTTCTCTCCTAATATTATTCCTAATGCTAGACACAGTTATACCAAAGTTATATTCTACATTCTCTGTGGAAAATTGCATTTATCTGAATGTAACTAATTATGTACATAACAGTAAATGATAACAAAGATAATTATTATTTATCATTTACATAGACAAGTAGGAATTTGGGACACCTAGGTCGCAAAAATGTCCCCCTTCGATACCTACCACTGTCTTATCCACAAGTTGCTCTGGACCAATTAATTACAAATGAAATATGTATCTGGAGTTTACCTGGAGAGAGTTCCGGGGGTCAACGCCCCCGCGGCCCGGTCTGAGACCAGGCCTCCTGGTGGATCAGAGCCTGATCAACCAGGCTGTTGCTGCTGGCTGCACGCAAACCAACATACGAGCCACAGCCCGGCTGATCCGGAACTGACTTTAGGTGCTTGTCCAGTGCCAGCTTGAAGACTGCCAGGGGTCTGTTGGTAATCCCCCTTATGTGTGCTGGGAGGCAGTTGAACAGTCTCGGGCCCCTGACACTTATTGTATGGTCTCTTAACGTGCTAGTGACACCCCTGCTTTTCATTGGGGGGATGGTGCATCGTCTGCCAAGTCTTTTGCTTTCGTAATGAGTGATTTTCGTGTGCAAGTTCGGTACTAGTCCCTCTAGGATTTCCAGGTGTATATAATCATGTATCTCTCCCTCCTGCGTTCCAGGGAATACAGGTTTAGGAACCTCAAGCGCTCCCAATAATTGAGGTGTTTTATCTCCGTTATGCGCGCCGTGAAAGTTCTCTGTACATTTTCTAGGTCGGCAATTTCACCTGCCTTGAAAGGTGCTGTTAGTGTGCAGCAATATTCCAGCCTAGATAGAACAAGTGACCTGAAGAGTGTCATCATGGGCTTGGCCTCCCTAGTTTTGAAGGTTCTCATTATCCATCCTGTCATTTTTCTAGCAGATGCGATTGATACAATGTTATGGTCCTTAAAGGGTGAGATCCCCCGACATGATCACTCCCAGGTCTTTGACGTTGGTGTTTCGCTCTATTTTGTGGCCAGAATTTGTTTTGTACTCTGATAAAGATTTAATTTCCTCATGTTTACCATATCTGAGTAATTGAAATTTCTCATCGTTGAACTTCATATTGTTTTCTGCAGCCCACTGAAAGATTTGGTTGATGTCTGCCTGGAGCTTTGCAGTGTCTGCAATGGAAGACACTGTCATGCAGATTCGGGTGTCATCTGCAAAGGAAGACACGGTGCTGTGGCTGACATCCTTGTCTATGTCGGATATAAGGATGAGGAACAAGATGGGAGCGAGTACTGTGCCTTGTGGAACAGAGCTTTTCACCGTAGCTGCCTCGGACTTTACTCTGTTGACGACTACTCTCTGTGTTCTGTTAGTGAGGAAATTATAGATCCATCGACCGACTTTTCCTGTTATTCCTTTAGCACGCATTTTGGGGCCCCTATTACGCCATGGTCACACTTGTCGAAGGCTTTTGCAAAGTCTGTATATATTACATCTGCATTCTTTTTGTCTTCTAGTGCATTTAGGACCTTGTCGTAGTGGTCCAATAGTTGAGACAGACAGGAGCGACCTGTTCTAAACCCATGTTGCCCTGGGTTGTGTAACTGAGGGGTTTCTAGATGCGTGGTGATCTTGCTTCTTAGGACCCTTTCAAAGATTTTTATGATAGGGGATGTTAGTGCTATTGGTCTGTAGTTCTTTGCTGTTGCTTTACTGCCCCTTTGTGGAGTGGGGCTATGTCTGTTGTTTTTAGTAACTGTGGGACGACCCCCGTGTCCATGCTCCCTCTCCATAGGATGGAAAAGGCTCGTGATAGGGGCTTCTTGCAGTTCTTGATAAACACAGAGTTCCATGAGTCTGGCCCTGGGGCAGAGTGCATGGGCATGTCATTATATCGCCTGTTCGAAGTCATTTGGCGTCAGGATAACATCGGATAGGCTTGTGTTAATCAAATTTTGTGGCTCTCTCATAAAAAATTCATTTTGATCTTCGACTCTCAGTCTGGTTAGCGGCTTGCTAAAAACTGAGTCATATTGGGACTTGAGTAGCTCACTCATTTCCTTGCTGTCATCTGTGTAGGACCCATCTTGTTTAAGTAGGGGCCCAATACTGGACGTTGTTCTCGATTTTGATTTGGCATAGGAGAAGAAATACTTTGGGTTTCTTTCGATTTCATTATGGCTTTTAGTTCTTCCCGCGATTCCTGACTCCTAAAGGATTCTTTTAGCTTAAGTTCGATGCTTGCTATTTCTCTGACCAGTGTCTCCCTAACGCATTTCAGATATATTGACCTCTTTTAGCCGCTCTGTTATTCTTTTCCGTCGCCTGTAAAGGAGCGCCTGTCTCTTTCTGTTTTACATCTACTCCTCCTTTTTCTTAGAGGAATAAGCCTTGTGCATACATCGAGTGCCACCGAGTTAATCTGTTCTAGACATAAGTTGGGGTCTGTGTTGCTTAGTATATTTTCCCAGCTTATATCGGTTAGGACTTGGTTTACTTGGTCCCACTTTATGTTTTTGTTATTGAAGTTGAATTTGGTGAATGCTCCCTCGTGACTATCTCATTATGTCGGTCTGGGGCTTTCCCCGCATACATGACTGAACCTCAATTATGTTGTGATCTGAGTATATTGTTTTTGATATGGTGATATTTCTTATCAGATCATCA